AATATTTTAAGGGAAAAGAATCCCCCAATTCTCCACTTACATGTTTCCATATTTAAAAAAATCACATGAGCATACCCACTATTTTCAAGAAAAGGAACTTATACTCAAGTCATCTGTTAAATATAAAACAAAGAAGTTCTACTTGAAACTAAATAGTTGGGTAACTGCATAAGGAATCTAAAATGTTTTAAATAAAATGCATAGATTGCATCAACATGCCATTTACTGTTAACACACTAGTAGTTTTCTTAACAGTATAGGGAAGTATCAGGATAACATCAATGATGATACATCACACACACTCAACAATTCATATCATGTACAGCAAAGGAGGCAAAGCATAATAAAGAATTTAGGAATCCTTTTCACAAACTAAATGACAATCAACTCTAGAGTTATTTTGCCTGCAGTGAGGCACAATTATTTCTCTCTTGGGCTTAAAGTATTCAGGAAATCTAAGTCAGAAATGATCCTAACAAAGACCTTTAAACAGTTGTGGTAGCTATAGGAATTTATGTATAAACACACACACACACACACACACACACTCCTCATCATATATTTACAAATATATACAAGCATACTGAGAATAATCAACTGGTTCGCTAAACATGACCAATTCTGTTTAGAGAACAAGGACATTCAATACATTTATATACAACAAAGTATAACATAGCTCAGCATTTGACCTACTGTGATGACTCTTGAACATTTTTTCCCTATGTACACAGGCGTATACCATAGTCAGATGGATGTAGCAGATGTAGAACTTTCTGAAAGAAGGAAATGAATGACTCTGAGATGTTATCATTCACACCATGAAGAGCAATTAAGCGTTAACTCATCCATGCTTGCCAACGCTTAGAGAACAACTGCCGTTTCCTGGTTCTCTCTGTACCACCACCTCATGCCCGTCAATTTTGGAAACTGTACTAGAATGCCATGCTTGGAAATGCCTTTCTCAGGATATCAACAAGTCTACTGTCATTTCTCTTACAAATTACTGTTTTTTACAATTAACCTGTGCTAAATTAACCAAGCCACATTCAGATGGTGTCCTGAACCATTGAGCATGACACAGAGATTCGTCCTCTACAAGAGAACAAGGTAGGACCGTGAGTCCACAGACCTAGGCTGCTCAACCTGTTATGCCACAAGTTAGGAAGGGTCGAAACATTTGGAATGTTTATCAAACAATCCAAAGAAGAATGACTGTGACAGGTGAACATGACATGACATTTACATTTCTGTGTCAATGAAGTTTTGTTGGACGACAGCCATGCTCAGTGATTTATGCATCATAAAGAGAGCTGAGCAAAAGAAAGACTGCAAAGTCTGAAAATACTTAGGGAACTAAAAGCCATCAAGATGGAAATCCATCTTTGTGTGGTCCCAACTTTTGATTTCCTTACTGATAAAAGCCAATTTAATCAGCTAAATATAGCCTCTGCCTTTCCTCTGAAATCAGTCTATAAATTCATCTGTGACACTACAGCAAAAGTATCAAAAAGCAGAAAGAAGATCTAGGTTTCAGGCTAGTCATGTGTAAGAATGAACTGAGACAAATATATTTCACCGATCATATCTGATCTGCACATTATTTTTTAAAAAACTATTAAGAGCATTAACATGACCAGCAAAGAATCAAAATATTTTCTGAGAAGGAAATACATAGTAAAATGGATCTCTTTCCCCAAATACAACTATAAACAGCACTACTTACTATTCACTGTAAACTAGAACAGAGAAAAGAAAAGTGAATAATCTGGATGTGGTTAGTAACTTCCGCTTAATACACTGTTCTCTCTGCACACACCCCCTTCCCAGATTGGGGCCACACCCTGTGCTCACGGTTTATTCTTGGCTGGGTGCTTAGAGATCACTCCTAAGCAGGACTCAGGTTGCTGGGAATCAAACCTGGATTGGCTGCATGCAAGGCAAGTGCTCTACCCACTATACTATCACTCTGGCTGTCATTTAATCAGTATTTTAATGAGTGTGCATGCAGGCATGAATGTAGAGGAAGTCATACCACTTTCCGAGACCTGCACCTTTCCAAAATAAGTGCATTGGATTAAAAGGTTTCTAAAGTCCTGACAGCAGTAATTTTTACGCCAATGACTAATAACAGTTTTTCCATCTGTAAAATAAAATCTCCTTCATACAGTTGTTGTTATGAGAATTAAATAAGTTAATTCCTGTAAAGTGCTTAGAACAGCACTAGATACATTTAGCTAGCATTTTTATTCAGGCATTTATACAAAATGCTGGGCATCTCCCCTAATACAAGTACTACACCAGAAAATAAAATACAGAGAAAATAGAAATTGAATCTCTTACATTAGGTAAGAATAAGAGAAGATGAAGTCTAAGGCTTCAACATCATCAGCATGTCTAGAAACTGACAATTCTCTGGGATGTGGTTCAGTGCTGTTCTTCACTTCTCATCTATGAATTCTTATTTCTGAACAATTACATTAAAAACATCAATTTTATTTTGCAAGGCTAAACAGTACTTTTAAAAAAAAAAATTTACGTCCAGAGTTCAGTATTGAGGAAGGAATAACATTTGCTCAAAGGTGGAAGAATATAAAACATTAGTCAGTCTGGCAGTACATATGAAATACAATCCTTCTGATCCAAACTTAATGTAGAAATATAGTTCATGTATTCATTGATTCCACAAATGTTTGAGTGCTTTACTAGGTAGAAGTATTTGTTACAATGATGAGTAACAAGAATGGTCCAGATCAGGGAGTGAGCAGAAAGGCCAAGCCAGTCAAGGAAGGTGGCACGAGCATCCTGATGGGGAAGCCCTGTGTGCCATGGTACCCTTGACAGAGACCTAACCCTTGTTCAGGGTACTGGAGAAGGAAATATGAGAGGTGTCATCTGAAAGGTAGGTGGGAGGTCAACAAGTACAGGAAGTGGTAATCGAGTGTAGAATGATGAGAAAACACGTGAGCAGAGTGAGAGCAGTTCAGTCTTGCTGGGACATGGCGTATGAGGAACGACAAATGATGATGCAGGAAGCAATAACCAAATAGCTTAGATTTTACATGAATAAGTAGGTGTTGACATTTCTACAGCAGCACAAATATGCAAAACTTATCATCAAAGGAGAAACAATTGATGAAATAAAAATCAGTTTCACTTGAAATGCAAACAGAAGGCAAAACCTATTGATTCCTTTCCTGCCGACTACAGAGACTCACTGAAAATTCCCTTAATTTTTACACCCATTTATAGCTGAAATATTATACACAGGAGAGTGAAATATAAAAATATTTGTTTTCTTATTTACAACATGGGTGCCTTATACTCAAGTCTTCTCAATACTAAACCACCTCCTTAGCATCGAAAGTGATTCACAAGCAGAAGGTCACATCAGCCAGGATCCAAGGGCTGAATTTCAAAGATATGGTAGGTGGGGGGAGCCATGGACATGACCCAAGTAACTTGAGTTTGAATCCTACTCACATCCATCATTCACTTGGTGTCTTGATGTCTCCCCATCTTCAGTTTGGACCATTTCACCATCATTCCTCAGATCATCTTGGTAAATTCTGCAACGTCACAGAATTTTGCATGCTTTCCTGAGTTTTGAATAGTTCCAGAAAGATTTGAAAGTTCTTTCCTCAGGAGGATATTCACTCTTGACATGAATTCCAAGGATGTCACAAGAAATCACAGTCCCTAAAGATATTTAATCACCAGGGTGGGGTCAGGTTTAAAACAAGGGTAGCCGGTCAGGTAACTCTCAGACTCTACGATGGAAATGTCCCAGCAAAGTGCAGTTAGCCCATTAGCTCTTTTCCTTGAAATGAACTATTGGCATAGACTTTGAAACAAAGGGACATTTGAATTCCCCTGGGAAATGGAAATGCATTAAGCCAATGCATTATTTTAAATTATGCTGACTGCCAGCCCAATTTACAAAACTGAATATTTTGAATGGATACACTAGGTAAACTCACTACATGACATTTCCTTTTTTCAAATTAAAAAAACAACAACAAAAATCATCTTTAGAAAGTTTCTACTCTAAATTTCCAAAATGTTGATTATCAAAATGTCTTAAACTTTTATTAAGATGATTTATTTACTATAGTACATATTTTGTCATACTCAACATATGCAGACTCTGACCACAAAATTAGCGGTGACTACTGATGAATACCTTATTAAATACGGTGGTAGGAGGCCAGAGAAAAAACACAGCAGGTAAGACGCTTGCCTTGCACGTGGTCCACCTGGGTTTGATCCTTGGCACCACATACGGTCCCCCAAACCTCACTAGAAGTGATCCCTAAGCTTAGAGCCACAAGTTGCCTCTGAGCACCACTGAGTGTGGCCCCAAAGACAGTGGCAGAAGAAACCAAATTTGATCTTCTAAAAATGCCCACTATTTAAAAAGCTGCAGAAGCATCTAAATATTGTTAGAATGTCTGTATTTTATTATTAATATAATTTTGTTTTCAGAAACACTAGACATTTTATTTTTCTTTTCTTTTTGGGCTGGGACTTTGGGCTACACCTGGTGATTTTCTGGTGATTAGGGACCACATGAGAATCTAGGGACTGAACTCAGATTGGCCGCATGCAAGGCAAGTAAGTACCTGCTATACTAGTTGTAATTTCATCTCTAACCTTTTCCAAATAGCAGTAAGAATTTTTGCTGTTTGAGGAAAAATGTTGGTTTTTTTTTGGGGGGGGCACACTCAGCTGTGTTCAGGAATTACTTGTGGCTCTGTGATCAAGAATCACTTATGGTGGTACTCAGGGAGCACATGAGGGGTCAGGCTTGGGTCAATCAAGTGCAAGGCAAGTGCCTTGATTCCTTTACTAGCCCTCTTCCCAACAACTTTGAATAAACATGAAACACTGATATTACTGTAATCTCCCCTTCTCTCCCCACCAATGTATAAAAAGTTCAAAGCATTGATACTTGACAGAAATTTGAAAAATTACTCTTTCTGAAAGACTATGCATTTTGGAGCAACCTATGACCTTCTTTTAATCTATCACACCAAGACTCTCTCTAGAGCTAGTTGGAAGACTTAAGTTTGTTTAGAAACAGGGTTTGAATACCTAGCTCATAACTCTACCTTGCTATGTATTATATTATTTGATTTCCTATCTAAGGCTACATGGCATGTAGGTTATAAATAGATAACCCTCCTGGGTCTCAACTCCTGTTCAGTAAGATGGCAATAATAATTTTCATCGAGCTGACACAGACGCGATAAGCTCAATTAAAAAAGTTTTGAAAGTTCTTAGAAAAGTTCGAGATACTTTCCCAAACCATGGTGTCATTATTAAACAATCTTCTTTTGCTGGAAAAGCAGCTTGCCTGCTTTGAAAAAAACAAAATTATGAGTCTTTTTAAAAATGATAGAAGCTAAAATTATACTACACATCCTTTTAGAAGTGATTTGTACTAAAGATTTTCTAAGCCCAGTGTTGGCTTTGCAGCTATGATTAAGGGGTTCCCATCAATAAGTAGAAAGTCAGGGCAACAATAAGAAGCAAGCAGAATGGAGAGGAGAAGGTCTGATACGCAGCTGATGGCATGAAAATGTCTTCATACTTGTAAATACTGACAACACGCTCGGATGTTGGTGGTGAATCTATATCATGTCGAGTGATAGAACCTTTAATAGAAAATAGAAAGGAAAGGAGAAATTGAAAAACATTACAGATTTCCTACATTAAAAAAATTACAGATTCATGATAATTTATGTAAACATCAGAAAAATTAATTTACAGTCTTTTGAATATGAAAGGCATGTTTATAAAGATTTAGAATCAGTCATGGGAGTTATCAGAATTCTCAATAACTGTACATTTAATGAAAACACTGTTAAATTTATTCAAAATACTGGCTGCCAAGAATCCACACATCCCCTATGAGAACAAAGCTATTGCGATCCCACTCTGTAGACTAGTTGGTACTATATGAAGGTCTATTTGTAAGGTCTATAATGATTTTTATCTGATTAATACCAAACAGAATAATTTGTTTTGTTTACAAATCCCAAGATTTTGGTTTTTTTTTTTTTGCTTTTCATTTTCGAGGGCCATACCCAGTATTGCTTAGGGCTGACCCTGTATCTGTGCCCAGGATGACTCTTGGTGGGAACCATATGCAGTGCTGGGAATCAAACCAAGGTTTGCCACATGCAAGACAAGTGTCTTACCCCCTGTGCTATCTCCCCAGCCCAAGAGCTACTGAATTTTTCCTTTCAAATATATATTTTATCTATAGCACAGTGGGTAGGGAGTTTGCCTTGCATGCGGCCAACATCGCTGACCCGGGTTTGATTCCTCCGCCCCTCTCGGAGAGCCCGGCAAGCTTCCCAGAATATCTTGTCCGCATGACAAAGCCTGGCAAGCTACCTGTGACATATTCGATATGCCAAAAACAGTAACAACAAATCTCACAATGGAGACGTTACTGGTGCTCGCTCAAGCAAATCGATGAACAACAGGAGGACAGTGTGACAGAACAGCTACTAAGAGTCCCTGAGAGCTGAAACCTTCTCAATGTACCATTTATATAGGTCATGAGTGGTAGCATGTCCTGAAGGGTCATGCTGTACCTATGTGTCTACCTGGCATAGTGAAGAGGGCCTAGAGTGAAAATACATCAGGTAAGGTGATTGCCTTGCACATGGCAGACTCTGGTTCAATCCTCATATCCCATTTGGTCCCCCTGAACACCACCAGGAGTAAGCCCTAAGCATCTCCAGATATGGACCCCAAACAAAAACAAAAACAAAATAGAATAGAAAGGAGAATTAGATTACCAAACAAGTTTTGGAATAGAAACCTTTGAACTGGTTAGAAGGAGAAAGAAGCTCCTTATAAATAATATTGATTAGAATGAATCAGAAAGTTGAATGATTCCAACTGAATAATCCCTAAGAAACTTGAATTAAGGAGATGAAGGCAGATGAGTTTAGAGCAACGATTTCCTTAGAAAGAGGGGTCTCTGCCTCAAATGCTAGGGGAAAAGGCAACTGGGATAGGAAAAGGACCATTATGACAAAGAGAGTTGGATAAATGATCACTCTGGACAGGAACTGCATGCTGAAAGTACGTAAAAAGTAGGTAAAGGAATAAACATAATAAGCTCTCAGTATCTGTGTCGCAGACCATGGGGGGAGGGGAGGAGAGAGAGAGAGAGAGAGAGAGAGAGAGTGCCTGCCATAGAGTAGAGGCAGGTTGGGGAGGGGGTGTGGCAGGAGGGAAACTGGGGTCCCTGGTGGTGGGAAATGGACACTGGTGGAAGGATGGATGTTGGAACATTGTATGACTGAAACCTGATCATGAACAGTTTTGTAACTGTGTATCTCACAGTGACTCAATTAGAAAAAAATAAAAATAAATTTTTTTTTAAAAAGAAAGAGGGCTTAGCATTGGGACTTTACAGGGATATCAAACTAGGGAAGCACTGCTAATGTGGATATATCAATCCCCTGAACCAGGTTCCATGCTAATTACAGTTTGGCACAAATCTGATTCTTCACGTCGCCCATGATTCTTTGCTCAACAAATCCCTCTCACCTCTCCTACCTGATGTCACTCATTGATCACCTAGATAGAGGCCAAGGCATAACCAGGCCCCTCTAGATCATGCCGTCCTTCAAAGAAATCTAATTCCAGTTTTCAAACCTAGGCTTGAAGTTAACCTCCCTGGAGAGAGGCTCAGAGAACAAAAAGTATGAAAGGGAATTCAAGAAAAAGAAGGGACCAGAGAGACAGTCCAGCAGGTAAAGCGCTTCCCTTGCACACAGCTGACCTGAGTTTAATATCCCAGCATCCTATACATAGATTCTCTGCCAGGAGTGATCCCTGATCACAGAGTCAGGAGAAAGCCTTCAGCATAGCTGGTTATGACCCCCAAAACTAAATGAAACCAAATAAGAAGCCCCACAGTTCACATATGGGCCAGTAATCTGTCTGTTTTGTTTGAGACAGTGAGGACTAGAAGTCCTAAGTAAGCACGTTGGGCAAAGACATCAGTGTTGGGAGTATTCTACCATGGGACTCATGAAAGGTGCTATTCTCAGGACAGCTCTGCACAGCCTGAAAGCAATTTAAGATATCAGCTTTCATTCTATCCTTACAATAATCCTATAAAGTTAGCATTTAGTAGTAGTAGTAGTAGTAGTAGTAGTAGTAGTAGTATCATTATTGTCTGGAGCAATAGCACAGTGGGTAGGGCGTTTGCCTTGCACGCGGCCAACCCGGGTTTGATTCCTCCATCCCTCTCAGAGAGCCCGGCAAGCTACCGAGAGTATCCCGCCTGCACGGCAAAGCCTGGTAAGCTACCCGTGACAATTTGATATGTCAAAAACAGTAACAAGTCTCACAATGGAGATGTTACTGGTGCACGCTCGAGGAAATCGATGAATAACGGGAGGACAGTGCTACAGTGCATTATTATTATTATTATTATATTACCATTCTAGACACAAAGAAATTATAAATTTCAGAATTTAAAGGCTATACACAGTTATCAAGAGGCAGAATCAATCCTCAAACCCAAACTGTTAGATTTCAAATCACGTTATTTTAAAATATGAAACAATTTTAAAATAAGTAATTTTTATTTATCCAGTCTAAGGTATCGTTTACAAGCAGAACTGCAGTTCTATTGCTGACCTGGGAAATAAACACACGGAAAGGCCCTCCCGTTGATCGTCGATTTGCTCGAGCGGGCCCAGTAACGTCTCCATTGGAGACTTTGTTGTTACTGTGTCTGGCATATCGAATACTCTCGGTAGCTTGCCGGGCTCTCCGAGAGGGGCAGAGGAATTGAACTCGGGTTGGCCATGTTGGCCGCTTGTAAAGCGAACGCCCTACCCGCTGTGCTATCGCTCCAGCCCACATGGAAAAGGTGTCATAAAACTAGAAGCATCAGAAAGGAGGAAAGAAAGGAAGAAAGAGAAAGAAAAAAAGGAAGAAAGGGAGGGAGGGAGGGAGGGTGGGAGAGAAGAGGGAGGAAAGGAGGAAGGGAGGAAGCAGGGGAGAGAGGGAAGGACTAAATCTCTAGCCCAATCAATTGGAAACAATTTAAGAGGAAAAAAGAACAGATTAGATCATGGATAGTTGAAGAATATACAAATAGGAAGAAGCAATTACCAGGAGCCAGAAAGAGTTCTCGTTACAATTACTGCAAACAATTTTCATTCTTCGTTAAGCCATTAAGCGGATCAACCAGAGAATGTTAAAGACATGGCATAATTTGATTTTAGCTTTCTCTCAAACGGGGGGGGGGGGGGAATCTTTTTCTGCCAAGGGCCATTTGTATATTCGTAACGTCACTGGAGCACCATGTAATGCAGGAAGCCAGGCTGTGGGGGTGAGCAAGAAGCAAGCCTATCCGTCCACGAACCATGGGTTCCCCACCCCCATTCTAAAAGATCTCATGATATCATTGGGTCTCTGCTGTAGAAATTCTGGAGAATTCTGACATTCAAAATGAAGTCTTCTGTGGGCTAGTCTCACCTTAGAGTTGGTAAGAAATGCAGAATCTTGGGCCTCAGACATACCAGAAGCTGCATCTTAATTACATAGCCAGACAACTCTTACACACACTAAAATGTGAATATTAATGGGCTAAATTATAAGATAAGTTAGTGGATCTGAGAGTTCCAGAATACAGTAAATCCTAATGTAATACTCTGCAATCCCTAGAGAAGTCTCCAGCTGCCCTTTCCAATTCAGTATTTTAGTATTTTATATATTAACTTTAAGAGTACTCCCTGTAATATATTCCGGGGGTGCAAAAAAGCACAGTAGAAATTACATTTGCACCTGTATGTTCATTGCAGCACTGTTCACAATAGCCAGAATCTGGAAACAACCCAAGCGCCCGAGACAGATGACTGGTTGAGGAAACCACGTGCACAATGGAATACTATGCAGCTGTTAGGAAAGATAAAGTCATAAAATTTGCTTATAAGTGAATGGACATGGAGAGTATCAAGCTGAGTGAGATGAGTCAGAAAGAGAGGGACAAACATAGAATGACTGCACTCATTTGTGGAAAATAAAATAACATAATATGAGACTAACACCCAAGGCCAGTAGAGAAAAGAATCAGGAAAACTGCTGCACAGTTGGAAGCCTGCCTCACGAGCTGGGGAAAAAGGCAGCTGGGACAGAGAAGGGATCACTAAGTCAATGATGGTTGGAGGGATCGCTCGGGATGGGAGATGTGTGCTGAAAGTAGATAAAGGACCAAACACGATGGCCTCTCAGTATCTGTATTGCAAACCATAATGCCCCAAAATAGAGAGAGAGTAAGAAGGAAATCATCTGCCATAGAGGAAGGGGTGGGATGATGTCGGGGTGCCGGGAAGGATACTGGTGACACTGGTGGTGGAAAATGAGCACTGGTGGAGGGATCGGTGTTCAATCAATGTATGACTGAAATTCAATCATGAAAGCTTTGTAACTATAGCTCACAGTCAGTCACGGTCCTCCCATTGTTCATCGATTTGCTCGAGCGGGCCCAGTAACGTCTCCATCGTGAGACTTGTTGTTACTGTGTTTGGCATATCGAATACATCACGGGGAGCTTGCCAGGCTCTGCCATGCGGGCGAGATACTCTTCATAGCTTGCCGGGCTCTTCGAGAGGGG